GATCGCAAGCAAGGCAGTGGAAGTGCTTGCGTAATTTACTACTCGCAATACCTCCTTGTCGCTGAATTCACTCTTCCACTTTTATGCCCCATCATTGATCCTGCTTGGATACTCTTATCTTTCGGTAGTAAAGGAACGCTTGTAGGTTGTAAATACCCCTCACCCGGGGTCAGCCTCAGTGACGAGAATTATTTGCTTGACATCTCTGATTACGTAGCGGAACTTAGTTCTTTTGATAAAGACGTTGGCTGTTGGTCCAATTTAACGCGAAAAGCGAAACATGCTTTCATAACCTCCACCACTGGCGCTTGGGAGCAAATGTTCTCCTGACTCTCAGGGGTAAAAATATACTTACTTTTTACCTCAAAAACGCCCCTGGTAAGTACCGATGTATTAGACGGTCTCCCTGGATGTGATCACAAAATAGTCGGATGTAAAATTATAGCTGAGTCGTCACATGTGAGGCCAGCGATGGTTGTACACTTCCTGCGAAATGTCAATTAGGTAACTTTCTCCGCTCTGCTTAAGGTCCAAAATTGGAACCATTGCTTTCTTTTATCTCATATTCAGGGTGCCTAAGACATATACGAAAATGTGCTTATGCGTTTAAGCATGAGTGCCCCCAGTGATAATGCTAGATCCTCTCCTAAGTACGTTATCAACGCAAAGGATAAGCAAGAAATATGAGTGCTAATCCGAATATATGAATGAACTCTACTTCAGTGAATTACTGCGATTTCAACGACCTACATTTGAGGCGGATATGAAGCACCAAACCCGTAGCATGCAAGAAGAACAACTAGCTGTGAGTAGTAGCAATACAAGTCGACAGTTGACTGCATTATTGCGAAAAAAGAGAGTTGGCAAAACTGACCTGCCCTCCCACATCGTCACGCCTGAAGATGACACGGTGGAGATGATATCCCACTTCTGTTATTGAATATCTTCTCTTTGTCCATCCAGTCTGGTCAATATTCCGAAAATTGGAAGACTTCTATGGTCACACCGAAACATAAGTCCGGGTCGAATGCTGGCATTGGGAACTACTGCCCCATTAGCTATGTTAGCATTCTCTCGCGTATGTTATAGGGAATTTTTGAGGGACATTTGGTTTTGTTCCTATTATCACACCAACTTCTCTCACCTACATAGCATGGCTTTCTGAAGTCCTGTTCGTGTGTTGCCTTTCGTGTTGACTTATTTAACCATCTAACTGAAGTAATTGACTCAGGTCTTCAGTGTATTGTCATATTCGATGACATGCAAAAAGCGATTGGCAGAGTTCCATCCAATAGGTTGCTATATAAATTAAGTAGGTACGGTATGACAAATCCGCTCCACTCTTAGCTCCAATCGTACCTGGGAGACCGATCGGAACTTGTGCATATATATGGTAACATCTCTCCACCTCGTCTGGCCACCAGTGGAGTGGTACAGGGTAGTGTATTAGGTCCGGTACTCTTTTTACTGTGTATAAACAACCTTTCTCAGTCATACAATTCGGCAAGCCTTATTTGTCTGTTGATGAACTAAAGGTTGTTTACCTGTTCCAAAGTTCTCAACATACCGCTAAACTTAACAATACAAAACGGTATCTCCTTGTTTTTCAGTTAACAGTACAGAAAAGCATACCGAAATGTAGTGGTCCACGATATCAGGTTCCATACTGTGCAAATACCTGCTACTAATATTGCCTAGGAAAATTCATTTTATTTCTTCTTTGCTTATGGACAATTCGTGCAGTCATCTCTCTTCGGCTGTCATGCTGCACAGTCTGATCGTATGATCTATCGATACATTTTGCGCTGTTGTAAAACATGCCAGCTGTTTATTTTTAGCCTTACCGATATTATACATATTATATTCAATTCTGCTCAGCTTACAATCTTCCTTATTTCATCTTTGGCCATGAATTGGCTGATCTCCTGAGGTGAAGGTTTGAAGTTAGCAAACGACAATAGACAATTCGGAGGATCAAGTTTGCACTAAACGCTGTGTGCTTGGATTGCGACGCGCAAGGTGCAATTCCACCGACTGATCAGCGTACAAAAAGTGCCAGATTTGAACGATCCGCATGACGGACCAGAATGAGGCTTCATCGCACATAATGTATGCATAAACGTAGCCCTAAAAATAACACAACTTTTGTCAAACAGGTGATGGCTTATATACCACACCAGCACATCGACATGGTGGGCATAGAAGTGTGGGTGAAACCTTTCGAGGGAATGCCCTGCATGGAAGCAGGTTCCCTAGGGACGGTTCCATGGATAGAGGTATTAGTTTACTTGAATCTTTGTTCAAATCTGTACTTGTTATTGTTCAATGCTTCACAACTTCTCTATCTTAATCATGCCACTTACTTAAAATTTCGTTTCGGATCCGTAGTATAACGCGTGAACGATTACTTATTTTGTGCGATCTTGCTGTACACCTTGATTAAACCACGTAGTTGGAGTTTGCCTCGCATCGCAAAGGAATATGCCCTTTATTTATTTATTTAAAACTAATGGGTAGGCACCCTATAAGACTCCGCAAAAAACGTTGTTCAATGCTTGGCCACTAAAGTCACCCACTGGACCGTGGTGAAATGGCCAAATAGCACGGCGCATGCGTTAACCGATGTAAAGTGGTGGGTGAAAGATAGGGACCGTCGACTTGATGTCCCTACAGAAGCTGACAATGCACAAGATTGAGAGCGTCTCACTGGAGATAAACGACGAGCGGGAAGTAAAAATGAGCTTGTCAATATCTGCGTCTGGACAGTGAATGAGCTACATATTAAGCGCAGTCTTCTTCTGATATAGATCCAGCGACTTAATAAGGCAGCCCAGGTTAACAGGCAGCCAGCCATATGTGGAGCACACCAGGAAGAATGGGGAAATGGTCGTAGTAACTCATTCGCTCTCCGTTACAGTGATCTGATCCCCGCACGAAGTTTCGGTATAAGGCTAATGCATGCTAGTCCGTATTCCGTTTTTGTTCATCGCAGCCATATTTTGGGTGACCATTATTCACCGAGAGATCATCTCCTGAACGCCTCTCAGAAACATGACCATACTGGACTATGCCATAGAGCAAAATCAACACTAGCAACTTGCACTTTTCCGGGACTTTTTCTAACTCGTTTCATAACACCAACTCATAGCCCATCGCATCCCCCCTCCCCTCTACTATTCAATGAACTCTACAGGCCTGGAAATCACCGGAGGAGCGCGAAATTACCGACTTCTGGATTCCATATAGAAGGAGTGATTGGAAATGTTAATGCATTCAAATCTGTCTAGGTCAACCAATCAAAGGACCGGCAAATAGTGGTCGCCGTAGCAGGTTGGGCTGGGAGTCTTTACTCGAGTTGGATAAACATCACCAGAAAACTTCGGAAACATTGTGCAGAAAACGGTGAAGTTAGCTCGGCAACCCTTATGATATTATCGGAGGGTGAATAGATCGGTGCAACTGTGTCCCCAATTTTTGGTACACAGACAGTGAGCTAACATGTATAAGTCCAAGCATAGCTTGGTAATCAATACTATCAGTTAGAATAACGTCTAGAATGAACCATACCGAGCGGATCCGTCTTGGAAAACTTTCCCGAATACAGCCATTGTCACCCCAGTCCTCATACCAACTAATTTAAGATAGACTTGAAGACGCTCGCATACACATGCTTTATGCAATATAGCTGGCTTCGGTTATGAGAAGACAAATACTAAGGAATGATTACACTAATCGGTTGATTTGTTACTCACAAATTCATTGGTTGGCTCTTTGAAAGGCACTATATCTTTTAAAGTGACAATCTAATCTTCACTTGCCTTTCTTGAGCATGTACGCATAAAACTATCCTACTTCATTCTTAATGAGTCACTTTTACACTGTTCACTATTAAACATTCCTGAACAATACTTTCTAAACTCAGTTCAGCTGAAAACACACATAAAGGTGGCAATTTCCTGAAACAAATGCAACAATTTTCGAGAGTGTGCGCGTCGTGGCCACACGCATAAAAAATGTGCCCATCCTTTAGTTGGTTCACTGATTTTGGTTCCATTTACACAGACTATATGTCGATGTTTATCACATATCCGCTTAATAGCTCTTCTACCCTGTATATATTTGCTTAGCGCTGCAATTCAACTTGGCCTTCTTCCTCTTTCTCTACCGTACTCCTCCGAACTATGGCCGGGTGGGTTCACATGCAACTACCAACTAGCTTTGTATTCAATTACGTAGCAATAGAAATGGTGCTTCGCCTCAATTCACTCACTAACTTGATGGGGCTTCGCTCGCCACTGGGTAGCGAATCATCTAGCTGACGCGCGTTGTTTGTGTAATAAACAGTAACCTGACCGACTGACAACTCGCAAACAATGGGGTACCCTTGCAAACATTTTGCGAATATTGAATAAAACTGTATGGGATCCTCGTCTGCAATGTAGGAACTTCACATGGAGGACGGAGACAGTATTCTTCTTGCGGAGTTGTTTTTCCCAACGGTCAGAAGCCTCAAGATCGGTCCACCAAAGTACATTTCTCCCATCTTAGATCGACACTGAACTGCTTGTCAATATGGAGGCTTTTTATAAGAGTAACAATGTTCTCGCCAATCTAAGCCGCAGTTTTTGCTATCCATAGTTACGAATCAGCAGCGCTCATTTATGCCCCTTCTACATCCCTGGATGTGTACCACGCACATGTCGAATCTAGATGGCGCGCTGAACACACACATCTGTCGTACGCTCTTCCGTAGTCTAAGTTCTACTTATTTTCCTTAAGGCGGATGTCCAATAAGAGTTTTAACGTACAGCGATTGCATAGGATAGTATTACTTGAGGCAAATTGACCAGCAGTAGGCAACAGATGCTGTGTGTAGCACCCCCAGCTTCGACCATGAGTTACTGAGATTTACTGAAAGGCGCTTATCAGTTACAAAAGTGTTCGCGTATAGACCCATCAAATAGGGGCACAGCAATTAAGTTAGGAATAGCAGGTGTATTGATATCATTGTCACAACTGTACGAAAAGATGAAAGCAAATTTCTCTTTCGGCGGAAGTCACAAATGTTATAAGATACATACCGAGGTAAGTACACTTCCAGGTTTATGTGTGGGTGCGCCGGAATTATACCTCTTTGTCAGGAAGCTATCGATCAGCTGTTGCTAGTTTCTTGGACGCTAAATGCGTTTGATCGAAACTTGCAGTTTGCTCTCCCTTTAATTCTTCCGGCTTGTCTTCGTGCCATCGGTTTAATATATTTAACACAGGACGAGTAAATATGCAGTTTACAGTTATATAAATCGCTTGTAGGCACGAAAATAGAGCGAACACGTGCCACAGTGCAACTGATGTGTAGAACACGGCAATGAACGCAGCCATCCAAACGAAACTGTGTGTGACAGCCAGCTTTGCGGTAATCCCATAGCGGGCACTTACGTGAAGCTGTCGAACCACAATGGGACGAGTGGCACTCGAACCGCAGCGCAGTCTTGTGCTTACTGCAGCGCAGACGAGTTGGCAGAACAAGAATGTGAAGATGGATGTAAAGAAGAGTACAAAATAATCCAAGCTGGGATTCAGGTTACACGAAACGTTCGCGAACTCCTGATGCGAGTGGTTTAATTCTTCTGCTTCATATGTGTGCACAGCTAATACTATGATGAAAGATGGGATACCCAAAGCAACGATAAACCATAGGATCCAATAAGCGAGCCGTCTTTGCCAAGATGGTGCAGGAAATCCCATTACTGTCTGTGCAACCTCTGGTAGATCTTTTGTAAAACATATTGTGTTTTCTCTTTTAGCCCGCCACGACTGACGGCATACACTAACGGATGACATCAGATTAGTGGTGTTTGTCGCCAATATGAAAAAGTTGGCGAAATATCCAATTACACAATGCTCTTTAGTACCATAGGCAAGTGAACAATTTATTACAGTCAGCAACTGCGCCAATGAAATCCACAGTAAGGTGAACACGATGCTGGGTCCGTACAGCCGACAAATATCACGGGAGCAGCAGATAATCAACAAATGCAGTGCTGTGAATGCAAAGGCAAGAATGAAACACACCTTTGTAATGGCATAGGTCTCCGAATCGATTCCATCTAGCGGAGGTTGTGTGCTTTCGTTCCTAATTTGTTCCATTCTGTCTTGTACATCAACTAGCTTGGTAGTGTTGAACTGAGAGTAGGCTACAATCACTGTCCGTTTCCTACTCTCTACAACCGTCAGCAAACTATTTTCCACGCCAAGCAAGTTTTCCGAAAATCAATTCATCCGTTTTACAAAAGTCAACCTCGTTTACTGGAGACACTCTCATTGGTCTCCCTAAACTTCCTTTCAGCTATACAATGCGGACTAACCAATCAGATAAGGATTTGGGAATTTATCACCTGTGCATGTCAGCATAACACAGGCCACTCCTAATCGGGCCAGCGATTCGTGGCTACTGATGTGGAATGAGTAGCTAGGGGAACCTAAATAAATAGATAAGTGAAGTCAACAGTGCGCTTTATGGCCCCATGAAAATTGATTATTCAGCCACCACACACACATGCCAATTAAACAGATAAAAGTAATGAAAGGTACAGCAAACGGATATGGTGCGTCAGCAATTCGAAAACGTGCTAGGGGTGATATCGTCGAACCAGATTAGCAAACCACTCATGATTAAGTTTTGATCCCTCAAAATAGTAGTTGAACGGGGAACAACTGACGTACCGGAAGTTCGTGTGGGAGCAAAAATGACTTCGTACGCTTGTCGGAGGGGGACTGGCATCAGCGAGTGTTTTGGACACCAGTTTCTCGCAAGAGTGAAGATGATTAAACACAATGACGTCAGAAAACTCCAACCTTAAATTTCGCTACATCAGACAATATGCATCAGTGACTCGTTTTATCACTTTAGAAGGCCCGTTTATAAGTCAGGAAACATCACAGGTGAGCAATAGGTCCAGTGGGTTAATAGGAAAGCGGCGATAAAATGTAGGGTTAGATAACGCAGCGCATATTAAGACCTAAGGCGGAAGATAGAACGTTAATATCCTAACTTTAGTGAATGTGACAGGGAATCGACAAGAGCAACTAATTTGAGACTATGTAACGATCGCGGTCAACAGCAGACAAAACACTCCAACTCTGCTCCGATTTGCCGAGGTTTCCGCTATCAGTGGCTGAAAACCAACCTGCGCAAACACTTTGACCTCTAGGTAAGCCTAGCTTTGCCATATAGTAAGGCAGAGGTTTGCTCACTGGAAGCGATGACCACAGCCGCCATAGTCTCCAATTGATTGCTCTTGGTGAATGTTTCGTTCTCATGATGGGACCAGGTGAGATCAAGTCTCAGCGTAACTCCTAGGTATTTCACTGACATACAAGAGTTCAGACTGACACTGCAAATGCAAAGATACGGGGTGTGCCTGAGGAGTTGCTGATAATGATTTCCCAAAGAAAACGAGAAAATATTTCTTTACAGTTTGGCACCTTTAGTGAAAAGCAGCGGGATTTATACAACGTCGTGAGGTTGCCCAAGATGTATTGCACTTCGGCTCATGAATCTGTGATGTGACTGTGTAAACCAAGGATCACGTCAAAAGCATATTTCAGCAGAATAGCTTCATTGGAATGGAAATTAAGCTAACGAAGTGGAAAACAGAAATGGGACAAACTATATGCCTGAAAAACACGGGAATTTTTGGTGTAGGAGGAAGAGATTTTTCCTCCAAACCTGATAAACTCCGTACGTTTGGCAAAATAGTGTGCAAGAAGTGGTACTAATAAAAAATGACCTCCGGAAACGAGCAGATCGCTAACAGAAGTTCGAGATTTATGCAACCAAAAGCAGTGCTGTAACATAAGAAAAAGCTACGCGCAGGCTTGTGTTGGCTACTGTGTAAGGAACGCAATGTTGCGAAGAGTACTCTTTTCGATAAATCTCCTCAGGCATTTACAATTATAAAAGGGAAAGGCACAAAGCAAATGGCTGATGAAGCCAAAGTGGTGGGAATAGTGGAATCACGACAAACAGGAACTCAAAGTATTGATGAATAAAATCCATTAACAACACATGTGACAAAGCACGTGTTAGTTGATCGGTGGAATGCCAAGTACATCGTCCGACCACTGTAGACGCCCGGAGTGGTAAAAATTAGTGAGCTAACTAGGGCCAGGGTAGAAGAAGCCCTTGCAGCAAAGCCTTCTGTTTGCACAATTCCGGTTGAAATATCCTAATCGCAATCGCCTTGGCCATCCGTAAAATTTGCTTCTTAAGACTTTAGTGTAAAATGGTTGTACTACAAAAAGTACTTGGAAGGCATCAGCGGTCCTAATTCGGTTTCCGCTTTCCACCAGATGTTCCAGGATGGAAATGTTGGGGCGACTGACGATGCCTTTCCGCAAAGCCGCTGGGCAGTGATCCGCAATGCGTTTAGACAGACGCCTGGTTGTGTGACCAAGTACCTCGCACCACAGGCGCAGGTAAACTGATATAAGATGTAAGATTGGGACTGAACCGGAAGTCTATCATTAATGCGTTGGGTTATAAAGGGAGCTGCTTCCGCAAGGACGAGTAAGCATGCGGCTGGGAAGGTTCTAGCCACTGCAGTGTAAATCCTTCTGGTCAACAGATCAAAGGAAATATCTCCTTTGAAGGCAATTTCAATGAATAACGGGCAATGCTGATCTTCAGCAAAGCAAAGATTCCCATTGCATTAATATGAATCAATATCGGAAATCATTTCAGGGTACAGAATTCTTTTCGGTAACTCTCATCGGACCCAAACGTTTACATAACAGTGATTGTGGAGATAGCGTCAACTGGGGCTGGGATCGACTTCTTGACTGTTTGAATGACCACAATCGATAACTTGAGACAGAGATACAGATGGTAGACCAAGTAAACTAAATAAACATGTGTACACAAGGCTCAGTAGTGCAATGTAATTAAGTAGGTAATATAACAGCCAAATAACTAAGTAACGGTGTCCGTTGGCCAAGGTAGTAGTATCGGCCGTATAAATCGTTTTTGGACACATAATTCCGGCTTTAGATGGTGAATGTACATAGCCTCGGCGATGGATAAGAGCTGTTTGCGGAATCCTTGGGAGAAGTGTTCAGGTAATGAGTAAATGACTTTGAAGTCATTCTCTGAAGCTGTATGGCCACATTCAAGGAGGTGCGACATGATAGAGCTGTCTGAAGGCCTCATTTCGCCTCTGTAAAGGCATGCCGGGATGTGTTCACGAACCCTCTGAGATAGGCGTCTCGTCGTGCGACCCACGTATCGTGCACCACAGGAGCGCGAGTAGTGATAAATGATCATTGCACGGGTCAACGGCGGTAGTCTATCCTTCAAAGGTTTTGTAAGCAACGGCTTATTGTGAAAAACGATTCTCAGGCGTTGCCGCCAAGCAAATAACGCGTCAACGGGTCATTCGGACCAACACG